GTGTGTTATATGAATATTTGGTCCCGTGTATGTAACATCTTGTGTTGTTATAATATTCCAAAAAAGTAGCCCCGAAAACTGGGGCAAATCTCGTGCTTTAATTTTGTGGCTTAAGATGGAAATGTTCAAACTTTAACCATACAGTATCGAACAATTAGGTAACACTTGTCGAAGAATGAAGGTAATATAATTATATGGTTAATGACGGAGCTAGAATTTTTAGTTTGGGGTTGAATAAGGGTTGATGGTCGACTATTGAGCAGTAGCTAGCAAATAGAGCAGCATTTGAAGTACTCGTACATAAAAATTTGTATAACGATTTATCAGCAGATGATGTTGTGAGGTTTAATTGAATCTAATCACATATCATTCTCACTTACATTTTGACACATCATCATCAAGTAAACATAATGTAAATAATTATGTACAAGAAGCATTTTCCAAACTATAAAGCTATTGAAAATGAATTAAACTATTACGAAATATTAGGTTATGTATCAAGTATATCTTGTCAACTTTACGAAAACAAAATGAGCTTGTGCAACTCACGTGAGGAACGAAATATCCAAATGGAACTTAAGTATGAAAATTAAAAACTTTGATTTAAAAGGTATGATCGAATTTCCATATAGTTACTAAAGGTTGGGGATGATTTCCCAAATTCTCGAAATAAAAATGAAAAAATTAAAATTGTGTCCGAGAGGATTCAAAACCTATTGTCTTCTAGATAAAAGTAGAAATTTTACCATTAGGATATAAACAAATTAGTAAACTTTATTCTTAAATGTTTTTTCTTTATTCGTGTTCTATTTTCACATTTAAATAGGAAAAAAAAAAATCCGCAGAAACTTTGAGGATCTAGACCCCCCCAGAGGACCCCCTTTGGCTCTACTCCAGTATAGTCTATATTGTATCCTTTAAAAAAATAAAAGAAGAAGACACCAAAACTTTGCTAAATGTAGATGACGTGTAGTCATCGACATTCATGACAAGCTCAAATAAATTATTACTCGTAAATATTCAAATTGATTTATGCACGATGGGGTAATTACAAAAACTCCGCAGTACGGAAAATTTCAGGAAAAAAATTTGTCGTAACTGTTTGGTACACATTGTTTCAAAACTCATTTTCAACCACACATTCTTCAATAAAATAATATTTTTCATCATATTAATAATTTTTTCTTACTTTTTAATTACATATTTCTCATCATATCACTATTTAAAATACATTATTTTCTAATTAATATCCATCAAACACACCTATATTTTAAACAAAATTTATTGTTCTTCAACTTTTAATTACTTGAAACAACGATGTTTCATTATATTGTGTGCTTTTTTTAAAAGCAACGATGTTTCATTATATCGTATTTTTTTTTAAAAAAAAATGATAATTTATTTTCCATTATCGGGGTATTTGGTTATAAAAAATTGGTCAAACTTCATTTTTAACCACAAATTTCATTTTATCAACGTGATTTGTGCGTAGATTTTATAATTTAGACTAACTAAAAAATGATGTGGCAAATTAAATCAACTTAAAATGGCTCTCTTACTGGGATAGTGAAAAATGGCTTTTAA